CATATTATTTCTTTTCTTTTTTTGTTTATTTTATATTATCATATAAAATACTATAACATTCAATTAAACTATAAAGATTTTCATTACAAGGACCCTCTCTCTGAATCTAAACTGGAAGATTCTATTGAAATGAATTACTTTATTTTTTCCGAAAGTGTTGATATTGAAAGAGGGTATAATTTTATCTTGAAAATTTTTTTTTCTTGAAATAAGACAAAGAGAAAGACCTTCAATGTTAACATTTTCTGATTATATGATACCTTTTAACTATGGTAATTTGTTCTGTAATTTATTTGATAATGATGATAAGTTTAATTAGTTCATCATATCTTTTATAATGATTATAATCATTTTAAAATTTGATACATTTTATACCAATAAGAATTTAATTAAGACGTGACGTTTTACATTTTAAATTTAATGTAAAATATGCACACAAAAATAAAACTCCATTCATCTTTTAACGTGATCTTGATCTTGAATATTACTGGCCGACTTTTTTACCACATCATTATAAAGACCTGACATGCAATTAATTAAAATGAAATTGTCGTATAGTGAAAGCAACCAATCGGCGGTGTTCTTGTTGACTACACAATGGACATGAATAAAAGCGGTTGTTGCTGAGGAAATGTCAATTTATGATGGTATGAAGTAGGTTAATTATAAAATAGAACGTTTCTTTAACAGACTTTAAGCCCCAATTATAAACGCTTCACTCGTTTCTTTGTTATAATTATTCTTTGTTATAATTAACGAAGGAACAGAACAGAACATACTCTTTATTCTCTCAGGTACATAAGTACAGTATGAGGAAAATAATCATAAAACACAGATTTAAGTTTGACAAAGGTGTATAAGTAATACATTGGGGGGGGAGACCGTAATAAAGTTTGAAAGTAGAACATAATCCGTATAGGTAGATACTGTATAAAAACAAACAAAAATATGTGAAATGTAATGTAAGATTATGCCTATATTCTGATAATTACTTAAATTTGGCCATTAAGGTTTTACAAAAAATAGACAAATGCTTTAATTTGTCAGGTGATTTCATATTCAACAAACTATTAAAACAACTGTCAGTGTTTGAAACTGCAAAATTTAACTTATTGGTAAGAATTGACCGTTGATACATAAAGAAAGGGCAGCTTAATAAATAATGTTTTTCGGTGCCTAAATCATCTAGGTCACAAAGTGTGCACTTTCTGTCATTGAATACTGTTCCGTCCCACCTTCCGGTTTCAACAGGAAATTTATGATTAGAAGACCGAAATTTAAACAAATTTAGTGCGTCACTATGCGGCAATAAGTTAAAATATGATTCAAATTCTAATGTGGATTTAAATGAATTATATATTTTGCCTTTATTAGAAGATTGCAAATTCCCGTACCATTGTTGCTTGTACTGATCTATTAACGTGAGTTTTACCAATGCACGTGTATTTAACGGTATATTTGTATAAAATTGATTTAACCACAGGTATGAACGGCCAGCTAAATCAAGTATTCTCTTAACGTACGAGGTCCATTTAAAAGTTGCGGTTTGACGATTTACCATATATGTATAAAGTTTAAACGATAACTTGTTATGGTCACCAGATAGTAAGCGTGTCCAAAATCCTATCATCCTGCTTTTAACTACAACTGAGATAGGATACCTTCCCAATTCACCGTGTAATATATAAATAGGTGTACTTCTACGGGCGTTTAATAGTTTGCGCAAAAAATCGTTATGAACTGATTCTAACATATCTAAGTTTTCGAAGCCAAAAATTTCTGAGCCATATGTTAGAATCGGTAAGACGGTGTGATCGAATAATTTTATGCTCAAGTCAATTGGTAAGTCAGCATTTCTAATTTTAGAGAAAAGTAAAAACATTGCTTTTTTTGACTGCTCAACTATGTGTTTGCGGGCATTAAGAAATGACCCGGTACTTGAAAATTTAATTCCTAGATAATGATATGTATCAGAAAAATCGAGAATATTATCACCAAGTTTGAATTCGTAGTTACGAACAGACCGACAACCGAACACAATAACTTTTGTTTTGTTCAGGTTCACTGTAAGATCCCATTCTCTACAATAAGAATTAAAAGCGTTCAGACATATTTGGAAATCCGTTGGGTCATCTGAAATAATAACGGTGTCATCAGCATACAAAAGACTAAAAGTTTAAGCCAATTAGATTCATTTACATCGACTTCAAGTTTTACACCGATGCCACCTGAATCTTCAATACATGTCTGTAAATCGTTAAGAAAGAGAGCGAACAAAAGAGGCGACAGATTCTCACCTTGACGGAATCCATTCATGCATGCAAAAAAGGGGGACAATTCACCATTAAGGGAAACACAAGATTTAATGTTACTATACATATTTTGAATGACTTTTAGAACCTTACCATTGATGTTAGAATTTAACAACTTTAGCCAAAGACTAGTCCTATTTACTTTATCAAATGCCGCAGAAAAATCTATAAATGCGCAAAACAAGTTTTTCTTCTTATGTTTCAAGATGTTGATTATTGAATGAAGGGTAAAAATATGATCCTGACAAGAAAATCGTTTTCGAAAGCCAGCCTGATTTACATTAAGAATATTATTAGATTCTAAATATTTAGTTAATCTGCAGTTAAGTATTGAGGTAAACAATTTCCCAAGACAACTAAGTAAAGTTATGGGCCTATAATTGGATGGTTCTTTTGGATCACCTTTGTTTTTGAATAATGGAACGATAACTCCATTAAGCCATGATGAGGGCATATAACCTGTGTCTAAAACAATGTTAAAAAGTTTTGTGTAAATCGGTAAAAAATATCCTGTGTATTTTTTATGTATTCGTTAAGTATATTATCGACAGGACTGCAGGCTTTACCATTCTTAAGACAATTTATGTTTCTTATTATTTCGTTCGTGGTGATTTGGGAATTTATTTCTTCGTTAAAATTATTTTGTTGCATTGGATTTGCACTAGAGGACAAGGAGCCCGTATTTGCATCCTTAAAATAATTATAAAAATCGTGCATGCTTGGCATCTTGTTGTTAGAAGGCTTTGGATTTAATTTATTCAAAAAGTTCCAGTACGACTTAGGATTATTTGTTTGCAAAGATCTAAGATAAATTGACCTTTTATGTTTATATTGTTGCACATAACGATATATAATACGTTTATAAGACTTGCTAGCCTCATTTAATAGACGCTTATTGTAATCACTAGGGTATTGTTGATACCTTTTCTTAACGCGGTGATAATGTTTTCTAGCTCGATGACACTCGGGACCAAACCAAGGCCTTTTATTATAAAATTTACTACGCGCACGAGATTTTTGTGAGAAAGTAGTGTTTGCCGCAGTAGAAAGTAGGTCGCTTACCTGGTGTGTAATATAGTCAACTGTTTGTTGTGACTGTGGGGAGGAGTTAAGTTGTTCAGTAATGCGTTGCAAGCGTGTCAAGTCTATGTTATTACGGTATTGTGTAAGTTTATCATTTTGCCAATGACAAGGAAATGTCATTCAATATTTTGTTAAAATGAAAAAATATTGTACACGTTCATAAAGTTTCTTTTCCATACATAGGAGTATCGCCCACTTTAACGTTTATATAATACAGTTTCGACCTATAACCATTCAGTCATCACTCATTATTGAATTGACAATATTATATTTAGGTCAAACAGTTATTTGAAATTAAATACAGGATATCTAAATCATAAAACGGTTTCATTATTGAATATGTCTCAAATTTTGTTTCTTACGCAAATAACTTTACCCATAATTGGCTACAGTATGGCTTCAACTCAGCCTCTACAACTACCATTGGCCATTGGTTTCAAGAAAGAATGCTGCGTCCATCACCCAGCTACCGCCTCAAAACAACTTGATAAATAAATGTGCAAAAAAAGTTCAAAGCAATGTTGTTGTTTTTCTCTGACATACATTTGAATATGGAATGATATTCGCAAGAAGTTTCAGTCCTAAAGAAATGGTAAACACACAGTTTTCTACGAAACATGCGAAAGTGAGTCTAACAAAAAGTTTTGACCTTGGTGATTTTAATTCTGCTTCAGCTAGTTGGATGTTTGCTTTATCTGGCAGTTTCCTGAAAGTATCGGTGCGTTGAGGTAAATATATCCCATGTGTGTTCAGCTGGGAAAAAATGTATGCTTATTCGTTAACGGCTGTGACTTAAAAATATTTCTGTAAAGTTAAAAAGCTATTTAAATCCCGCATGAAATATTACAGTCGAACGCGCTCAAATACGTTATCTTTGCCAAATACGATGTAGGTATAAATCTAACGTACTTAAAGTAAATATATAATTGCCCTGTTTAAGCTATAAGCATAAAACATTGTTACAAATTAAGCAGTTCAAAAAGTGTTTTTCTTCTTCTCCCTTTCAATCGAGTCAAAACAATGTAATCTCATTTGTTCCTGTTTATAAAATAACTACTTGAACATATCCAAACTTTTAAGGGTTGAAATTTCATGTTTGCCACAAACTCCTGGCCTATTTGTGTTGTTCAAACATTCTTAACTTTGTCAATTTTTAATGTCATTTTCGATAACTTTCTTTGTTGCAAATAGAAGAACAAAGCACGTTACGTATACTATAAAAATATTGTGACTAAGAGAGGTAACTGTATAATTTGTTTATGTTCTCAGGTCGCCATACAAACAATGGGACGCAACCGCAAGAAAAAAAACTTTTTTCTTAATTCGCAAAATTATGTTGGATTATAGAAAAAAAAATTTTTTTCAAACATATACATGTATCCTATATTAATAGTGCGTTACTAGTTATAAGAATAAAAATGTTACTTGTTCATTATTAGAACACAGCTTTAAAGATTTTTACAAACATCAATCGTGTCAATAATTATTTAATGAGTTACAGATATTGATGCCCTGCGTGTTTCCCCCCGATGGATCGAGCGCTTTTTCCCGATAAATCACGCAGACTAATAGATCCATATCTTCAGGTTTGACTTTTAACACTTTAAAATATATATGAACAGAATTCTTCCAATAACCACAAATGATGTACATAATTTTGGACGACATCTTTGTCAAAATTAAGTTCACAGACTGGCGCATATCTGCTATTTTTACTATAACAGACATATAGGCATAATAAAAATATTGATTAAAGCAAGCACACCACTACAGGGTATTGATTCTGGCATCATTTATGGAATACCAGCTACTAAAGGTCAGGCAAAGTGTACATGTGTGTATCTTTGTTGTTTTTTTTCTATAATTAGATAAAAATGGATTTAACTGACTGGTCATTAGGAAATGCTGACGTGCTTCAAACTATTGCCAATTTGCAATGGATTTATGGCAATCCGGCAATGAGTGAAAAAGTTTCAATGTTCAGACTGGGGTAAGAAAATTAGTTAATTAATTGGTATACATGTAGTACATGTGTATTGCATCGATTCAAACTAATCATAAAATCAATATACATAGATAAACATGTTTCCAACAAAAGCAAATAGGATAGGTTGGGCAACACTTTCTTTTAACATTACATTAAAACCGTCTCGGAAATGGATTATTAAGACATAAAAATTCTTGTTGTAACAGTTTCTATCTTTTACCGGCTTAAATTAAAACACTTTTCACAACAAATATTATTTTGTCTTATTTCATGACTTACAAGCTACACAAACTCCCGGGATTTCCTTTTTAAGAAACAAGACGGCTAATAATATTGAAAAAAGTACTTTTATGGCAACAATGATTTTTTTTACATATATAAAATTTTGTCTTACATTTTTGTAACAGTTCATTAAGTCATTCAATATATATAACAATTATGAAATTTTAGAAATATGATTTACTGTGACATCACCAAACAGGTTGCCGTCCGTATCTTATTTTAGCAGTTTATTGTATTGCACGTGTTATAATTATTTAAAAGTTAATCAATTAATGCGGTTTATACATGTCAAGTTTTGTGAAAGTCTTTTAATGCAAACTTTAAGGAATAACATGCTTTTGTAGCTCTAATAATGACAACTATAAAAAAAAACTTGATAAAATCTCCTTATTGTGTGCTATATGAATTCATCAACTGGGTCATTGACCTAATGTTGTACATTTGTATCTTGTTTCTAATTCGATCTTAAAAATATGAATATTAATATATATTATGAATATAAATGTTGCCAAATATATTCAGGACATTAATAACGAAATGATTAATAATGTGTTACACCTGGAGCTATTCTATTTACACATATTATTATCAATGGTTCATTAGACACTGTGAACTGATTTGGGTGCATTTTAGTAGAATATTGGAAGGTTTTTTATCCAAATACATGTAGTAAGAAAGGCAGTTTATAACAACAAAGCATTGTTATGAATGTTTGCCTCACCTCAAGAAAAGTAGAACGTGCCTTTATATACGCAATTACACGGAAATTGACAATTTTGGCACATCATGCATTAGACATCCATATATTTTTAATTCTTTAGAAATGCCAAACATGTGTTTGATAATGTTTTGATACTGGATTAAGGGCGTGTTAGATATTCAACAACTGGAAGAAAAATAGCGCTGAACATGCAGTGATGTGTCGTAAAGGTAGCAAAATGTAAATAATGTAGTATTTTGACTTACAAAATACTAATTCACTAAATATACAATTTGCAAACAGAGCAAAATAAGCAAAAAATAGTTTATCTATGTGGCAAATGAGTACTTTTTTTGGAAACTATGACAAGATACCAAAATATATAAAGTTTTTGAGAAATAAAAATTATTGCATTTCTAAGGCATAATAAGAAATAAAATTTATTGCATTTCTAGGCATAATGGGCCTTTAAGTCTGAAATAATTATTTTAACCAATTGTTTCATTATTACAGGTATGAAGTATACCAGCGAGTTAGTGGAGCAAGAGAAATTGAAGTTTTAAAGGCACAAACTATTAATGCAATCGCTACATATGTTAGAGATAATCCAAAGGCATCCAAAGAAGAGATACAGAAAGAAATTGCAAAGCAAATATTTGCATTTGCCCAAAAGGTGGATCGTATTTAATACAAAACAAGATTGCGTATTCAAGTAATATTTGTTCAAGGATATAAAACTGTGACATTCCTCTGGTAAAATTGTTCTAAAATAAGGAAAAAAGGAACTGATTTAGAGTAATCAATATGTAATTACAGAAAATGTATATTGTTATATGTATACTTTTCATTTCAATTTTTGTTTAATTAACTAAAGACTCAAAAACAATCAATTAACCATGCCAATCAAAATATTGTCGATGCCAAAAACAACCTATTTCTAAATGTATCGCCACGATAAAGACAGAGTTATAAAGTCAACATAATAGGTAATACATTGTATAGTAAATATTAGTGATGCTGGTTTATTACAAGTATAATGATGTAGTTATTTCAACGCAGTGCCGGGATCGTGTTGTAATGAGTAACTAAGTGCTTATAACAAACAATAAATGAATTATAATGTCATGTTTCTTTTGGCTTTTGCAACCGTTCTCGCTGCCTGAAACTAACTAGTAATCCCTTCGTGTGAAAAGAAATTGCCGTGTCACGAGTGGGACTCGCGCCCACGACCCCCCGGATCGAGGGCAGCCATATTAACTACAAAGCCACCGATCTTCTATAAATATCAACTTGTTGTGCATATATATCAAATTGTCAATGAAATACGGTTTACGGTATACCATCATGGCCATCTTCACATATAACAGTATTAATATATGATGAAAAGAAGAAACCATGATGTCGGAAAGTCGAATATGACCAGTTTAATGCACAGTGGTGTAAAGTTTTAGGTATGACAACGTGAAAACGAGCATTGAAAACTCGAAATCACTTTATTCAGTTGAAGTTGTGACCGCTTAAACTTGGTACTTTCTTTTACCAATGCATGACTGAAAAATAGACCTTTAGATCATGTTAGATTCCTATTTCCTGACAAGAGTAACGCTAAATGTGAAATTATTTGTCTTAAAAGTAGCCAAATGTAAATAAAGTACTATTTTAAACTTCATTCAAAATCACTATAACAGTACTGATTGCCAAAAGCTAATGCCACGGGTCCAATAGGAAGCACAATATGGTTCAAGAAATGGCCAAAATATATAAGAATATTTCTGGGTCATAATGGGACATTAAAAGATTAACAAAAATAATGTCAATATGCCAATGAATTATGTACCATAATGATAAATTATTCCATTTAACCCGTATCCATCGGGATTTATTTATGGATTTTCCCTGCTTTGAATTTGAAAAAGTCGGTGCCAAGTTTAAAGGAGAGCTCTACCAACTGTACAGGGCCATGTCAGACTGGACAGATGTGCAAGTACCGGGAACAAAATCTAATTACAGTGTACTTACATTTTCAGTCGGTTGGTTTTAAAGGATTTTAATTGTATCCATTTGCATTACAATTTACCAATATAAGATTTAGCTGATCACAACCCAAATGGTTTTATGAACATCTTAAAAACTAGAACATAATACAAGTTTTACTAAAGATATATGGTAATGTTAGCAATGAATACAAGAAAAATGTTTCTGGGTCCTCCTTTATTCACTACATAAGTATCTGTATCTCTCTCTATTTCATATCATTCAATCATTAAAAAATATATATGTCTATAGCTGACTCAATTATTTAATCCTGAATAAGTGACGTGGAAACAATAAGTACAAATTACCAAAAGTAGCATACTGTCTTAAAAAAACTTCTTTACTCGACTCAATGAGATACTGTACATAGAAATCTTTGCCAAACTTCAGTTTTGCAAGAGCTAGCTATTCACATCACAGGGATATCTAAACCCCCTTTAATTAGCTTTACATTAATTACATGTATTTACACATAATAGTATATACTACAAGCTCCACAAAATTAATCCTTCATTGAAAGACATCGGATGTTCTTTCTTTTTTTACAGTTTTACGTTATCGGAAAATGCGCAACAAACATTTGCTTACCGTATGGTAATGCTTTTTATTATTCAGATGCTTTATGGTATCCGATAAAGCGTCTATGTTTGTTTACGGAAGTAACATCTGTCAATTTTGAAATATACGCCAACTGTCCTATTGATTTATTGAAAGAAAAGGAAAATTGTGATATTTTGATTGAAAATGGATTTCAGTGACTGGTCTATGGGAAATGCTGATATAATCCAAACGATCGCTGCATTACAATGGATCCACGGCGACTCGGCAATGAGTGAGAAAGTTGCCATGTTCAGACTTGGGTATGTTGTAGACGTGCAACCAAAGCTACAGTAGATTATGTGATATTTTCGTTCTGCTTTAAGAGGCGAGATACTGCCCAGAGGCGAGATATTGCACAGACACGAAAATAGCTCAATATCTCGTTACGCAGTAGCCTAAAATTAGTTCGACTAGGGTATGTTGAAGCTGAAACTTGAAAGGCTTCGTACCATTGCAGTTTCGTGATTCGGACTTTATTAAGAATAAGTGTATTATAATGCAGTCTTCATTTTAAATATAATTTTTATAGAGTCATTTCCCTTTAAACTTGTAAAGATGTTTCACACAATTGTATAGACATTTCCCCCCGAACATGGTCTTTCAAATAGAATTTTATTTCAGATATGAGGTTTACCAGCGGATGAGTGGTGAAAGAGAGGTGGATGCCCTTAGAGCACAAACAATAGCTGCCATTGCAAAATATGTAAAAGACCACCCAAAAGCAAAAAGAGAGGATCTTCAAAAAGAAATTGCAAAACATATTTTTGCTTTTGCTCACAAAGTGGATAGAATTTGAATAGAAAAAAATTGGATAGAATATCGACCAATAGTTTAAAGGTGTTCAATCTAAATTAGAACAAAAAATACAAAGAATAGTTAATTTATTACCATACTAACTGTTATTCACTTTACGAAATGGACAAAATCACTTGAAACAATTTAGAAAGTTTGTTTTTCCTTCCAGCATGCCTATGTATAATTGTTAATCATTGTTATATTAATTTGATGAATATTCACAATTTCAAAATAAATAGTTTCTGTAAAATTTTAATTATGCTCTATAAGTAAAATTAAAATGGTAATATAAATGTATTGCAATGGATTTGCAGAGTATTATTTCAAAAAAAAATATATATATATATACATATATTATTGCATATGATTATCATAATAATTTATTGATTACCTCCCTTTGTGTATGGTACAACGAAATTACACCAAACTCAGAAAAGTTATTTATGATTTTAGACTATTTTGAAACATTGCTAAACAATATTTGGGATCAAAATTGTATTTTCAACAGATGGAATTTATAGAACAGTGTGAAAAAGAACATAACAAATTTACAAGCATTTTCATTTGAATGGTTTTTACTATAATTTTTGTTTAAGCATCAATAATTGTTTGTAAAAAATCATATAGTTTTAGCACAATATGGTCAAGATTTATGCAATTTGATTTTGCTAGATAATACACAATGTCATGTCACTGGTGTACAAAAGTTGTTTTTTAAAAGAATTATCCAAATACAAAACATATTTTTTCTAAATTTATATGCTTGATTTTATCACCACTTTCAATCATTAACCTATTTTGTAAAAATATGTATTAAATACAAGTATTATTGAAATTGAATTTATTATTTCTTACAGTATATATTTTTAAACTACTTTGTAATATTTTTATACATGACTTTTTCTTGTTGTGTTTATGCCGGCCATATATCCCCTCTCTTGAATTATGTATTATCAAATTCATGTAACCTTCTAAACATAGTGAAAGTTATCAGGAACAGAAAAACAGATAGTTACCTAGTCTTATGTATTTTTATTGTTGTTACAATATTTAAATTACATTTATTAATTAAAATAAAAAAAATGAATGATTTCTTTTATGTTTTATTATTTGTTTCAAGGTCACATATACAGGGAAAGAGCACAAGTTTTTTAACCTTTACCTAGCCCAACAAAAGACCGACGTCTGTGTAATATCAGTTAATAAAATCTTGCAGTCAAAATATTGAGACTAACCTTTACCTTGCTGGAACAGAAAGTGATAAGCCCACGGGGGAGAATCACGCCGTTCGTTACCCAAACAAACAAGATGGCGGATGCAGCCAAAAAGTAGGTTTTTCCCTTTTTTCTCTGAAATTCGTGAAGTTCTAATGTAAAAGTTCATATAACAACCTTCTACACAATTTTCCTGGCACACAGGATTTTATTTTATGATGTTTCGTCCTGTACTTCATCTGAAATGCGCGTCACCTGATTCGAAGCGAGAGAATTTTCCACCGGTTTGATCGTGGTAACGTACGGCCTTTTCTCTAAAATTCACTGTTTCTTTTACATATATGTATATTAACTGAAACCACTGACACTAAAAAGTTGTAATATGTTGTCATCTAAGCATTCATGCCCATTCTGGCTAGAATAACCGCTGAAAATATTAATATCGGACATTTTCTGGAAATGATAACGTATGGCGTACAAAATATCAATGATAACGTACGGCGCATTCTTTTCTGATAAATTGATTTTCTTTATATTTACAATACATAAGAGGATGTGTAGAACCAAATTAAGAAACTGAAATAAATAATATTAGTGTCCAGCTTTATTTGTCATCCAATGAAAGCGCTGTATTTCTTAAAAATTCCTTGTGTAAATTTTCATAGAAGAACAAAAGTTGATGATATATCAAAGTCCGTTCATAGCAGCCTTCTATTTTTCATAGTGCTTTATAGAACCGCGTTTGTGCAAATGGACAGGTATAGTGACGAAATAAAGTTAATATTAATTAAGCCAAATAAAGCTTAACACTAAGTATGCTTGTATTCATCCGTAGCTGTTCTAAAGAAATAAGAAATATTCTCCGGTCGATATCGCTCCCGTCGAAGTTAGAACAACACGGATGAACACTAACATATACTTCGTAAACACTAGTTTAAGAGTAGCAAACCGTTCTTTCATTAAGATAATGACGTCATCTAAGCGCATGAGCGGTCGGGCATTAAAGGTTTCAGACGGGTTTTCCGGCATGGATAAAAACATCGAAATCATAATCCGATTTGAAACTTTATATCTAATACTAGAAATTGATAAGGAAATTCCAATGTCACTCTTTTATTGCTGATACCTGCAATACTTTTTTTAAAAATAAATTATTGTTTTTGGAGAAAAAAAAAACGCCAGAATATGATAGGCAAATTCTTGCATGTAATTGTTTTGATCAAATTATGGCGTTCCTCTCATTTACAATTATGAAATCCGCAATTGACCTTCATTTTTTAGGATATGTGTATAAACATATGGTAATTGCGTAATCGCGTGGCCGAGTGGTTAACGCGTCGGACTAGTAATCTAAGGATTGCTGACCGCGTGGGTTCAAACCCTGTCAGGGGCAAGCCGTTGTTTCCTTGAGCAACTTTACATTCATTGCTTAGTACTGGTTGGTTCCAGGAACGGATTCGAGAGTGTTTCAATAGGCTTATAGCTTCCAACACAATCGAACTAAAAATAAATTTGTATAAACCAATTGCGTTTATGTATTAAAAATCGATTAATATACAACAATTTTGCATTAATGGTTCATGCAATGTATGTTTTTTGTATGTATGTACATGTATATGTGTGTATGTATATGTATATACAAGAGACCTATAAGTTAGTGGTTTAAAGATCAATTTTGATATGAAAATGTTCATTATGTAACTACTTAAGAAAATTTCGGCTGGTATTTACTTTATCAATCAAAATTGATCTTCTCCAAACTTTTTCATGATTTTTGATATTATGTTTATATGAACTGTTCGTTATTGTGCATGTTTTATGTCCTCATCGGCTTTAAAGCCTATTGGAATAAAATAAAATGTCTACTGTCTACTATAATAAAAAAAAACTGTAAGGCTATGTCGCGTAAATATATCTGACGTCATAGTGGCACAACGTCACGCTAAATGGTAGCGTTTCAATATTAACCGCCCGTCAAATAAACAGAAAATTTCTTATTTACTAAATTCATTGAAGTTTTTCGCATAACATTATTTTCTAACTCATTCAATAAATTCAATATAGAACCTACACTCATTCATTATTCTCTGTTATGTATTTTTCTTTCAATGAGCGACCAGATTGAATAAACACAGGCTCATCTCATCTGGGTGTAAGCTAGTCGCAATCAATTTTCGTTTTGTAAATGTTTGACGGGTTCAAATATTAAGATTTCCTTATCAGAAATTTGTTAGGAATGATTTTAGACTTTTTCTTTGGAAAAGAAAATATATCAAGCCGTCCGTACCTTTTTAACATTTTTGCTCTGCTGAATGCGTTTCTTCTTTCTGATAAGGGGATAAGACCATAATTATCGCACAACACTGGCGAAATTTAATGTGAAGACAACACTACACAAATGTTTCCTGAAAGTGGAGGCTTTTCTTTCCATTCTGCATTTTATACAAAATATTCTCAAACTATACACGTGTGTTTAAATTGTTATATTAACAACGGATATCTATTATGCCACCAGTATACCCGATGGTACAGCATTGTTCAATTAATTATTTCTGACCTGACCAACAGATTATTTTCAGATATCTATCATTTCTTTCATAAAATAATTCACCATCAGCTGATTCGACAAATGGAAATCCACTAAGTAGTAAAATGCGTCGAACGTTATCATTGATATTTTGTGCGCCATACGTTATCATTTCCAGAAAATGCCCGATATTAATATTTACAGCAGTAAATCTAGCCAGAATGGGCATGATTGCTTACTTGACAACATATTACAACTTTTTAGTGTCAGTGGTTTCAGTTAATATACATATATGTAAAAGAAACAGTGAATTTTAGAGAAAAAGCCGTACGTTACCACGATCAAACCGGTGGAAAATTCTCTCGCTTCGAATCTGGTGACGCGCATTTCAGATGAAGTACGGGACGAAACATCATGAAATAAAATCCTGTGTGCCAGGAAAATTGTGGAAAAGGTTGTTATATGTACTTTTACATTAGAACATCACGAATTTCAGAGAAAAAAGGGAAAAACCTACTTTTTGGCTGCATCCGCCATCTTGTTTGTTTGGGTAACGAACGGCGTGATTCTCCCCCTTGAAGCCATTGCCACCAGTATACAGCTACATGTAGTTTAGCTGATGCATTTTGGTTGACAACTATAAATTTTCATCTTGATATCCCCAAAAGTGATAATCTTTACATATATACTGATAAAAATAAGAAACTTTCCCTGTGTTTAAGTGGAGATATAGTGTTATTTAAAAAAAATCAAAATGTCAAATGAGCTACATATATTTGGGCGAACGATTATGTGTCCGATAAAACAAATTTTAACTCGTTTTGCAGGAGAAGCCAGCTGACCGCGATTTCACGTGCATGCACGGAACAGTAGATTTGTGTATTTTATGAAACCTTTTATTGTAATTTTATAGACTCGTGATATGCTAGAATTTCACAAAATTTACGCGAACGTGCGATTGGCATGCTTAATGCTGGAATGACGATGAATGCCGTCGCTATGTATATATTAGATGTTCTATTCGTGCTATTCTACACCTTAGGCAACGTTTCAAGCAACAGGACGTACAGAAGATAGACCACGTAGTGGACGTCCGCGCGTCATGACAATGAATGCCGTCGCTATGAATATTAGATGTTCTATTCGTGCTATTCTACACCTTAGGCAACGTTTCAAGCAACAGGACGTACAGAAGATAGACCACGTAGTGGACGTCCGCGCGTCATGACGCCTGCCAGAGACCGCTATATTCCCCACCTGCACAATCGCTTCCAAACTGCCATAAATAGCTACTGCAGCTAACACCCCTGTTACATAATATCAACCGTATATCTGCCAAACTGTGCGCAAAGGTTGGCTCCATGGACGTCAACCATACGTGTTTTGAGGCGACGTCGCCGCGTAAATCGTGATAAAAGGAATAGCGTTTTTTTCTCTGACAAGTCGAGGTTTTCCATTCATCGAGCTGATGTGCAATAGGAGATAAGAAATAATGCCAATAACACTCTTTTAAACATGATTATGTCACAAGTCATACATCTAGGGACACTGTGAATTTCCTCAGTGCGAATAACATTGCATTTGAGTATGAGTGGCCTACCAAAAGCCATTAAACAGCTTTGGGAGCAGCGTGAATTTAACGTCGCCCTGTTTCACCGTCAAACGTCATTCAGCTAAGACAAGCCTTAGGGTAGTCATACTGTAATGCTTTCCCGCCAAAAAATTTCTAACATCAGACAATATCGTAAAAAATCGATCATTTCCGGAACATTATTTTTCACAATATTCGGTATTCAATTATCTTAACCATTTATAATCGGAATTTAGTACATAGCGATAAAGGATGAGTGATTGTAAATAATCTAATGCCCAAGATTTTGATGAAAAATAAAGTTCCGGAAATAACCGATTTGCTACGATGGGCCGATGGCGGAAAAGCATTACAGTAAGACTACCTTAATTCAGGAATGAAACAACATTCCACA